GAGTGGCCAGGGTCAGAAGCAGTGAAATTCACGTTCTCGTCGAGCTGCCTCAGGTCGACAGTAGAACAAGATTTTGTTTTTGGTTCTTACTTTGTCTTGTTCTCATTTTTTTTTTTTTCTCTTTTTAAGCCAACAGCACGTGGCGTTCTCAAACGGTCACCCATCCAAGTTTGCACCACGCCCGATGCTGCTTAACTTCGGTGATCGTACGGGAACCGGTGTGACCAGCACGCTATGGCCGTTGGCTTATTATTGGGTTGGCAAAAAGATATTTACGAATTTTTTAAGAAAACAAAAAACGATTTATTAATTATGTCAAATTATTTTTATCCATTATATTATGTTTATTATTATTAGTGACCTTTTGACATTTTTCGGGTGGTATCATTTTCCTTTTTTTATACAACTCTTTAGTTTTAGGAGCAAAAAACTGCTCCAATGCAGTTTTGACCTCATTGTCGTTTTGGAATTTTTGTCCGTTTAAAAAATTTTTTAGGAATCGGAAAAAATGATAATTATTTGGAGCTAGTTTGGGACTATATGGAGGGTGCAGCAAAACATTCCAGCCTAGCTCCAGTAGTTTTTGTCCAGTGGCTAAAGATGGGGAGGGCCTGGCATTATGGTGGTGAAAGACAATTCCTTTGCTATTGGCTAGTTCCGGTCGTTTTTCTTGGATGGTATCATTTAAATTTGTCAATTGTCGAATGTAAACCTCTGAATTTATGGTCTGACATCGTGGCAGCAGCTCAAAGTTGACTATGCCTTTGTAATCCCACCAAAATGATAACAATACCTTTTTTTGGTGAATGTCAGCCTTAGAAGTTGTTGGTGCCTGTTTCCTTGCCTAAACCAGGATCTTTTTCTCAAAAAGTCATCATAGACAACCCACTTTTCATCTCCGGTGACCATTCTTTCAAAAAAGAATCATTTGCATTGCGTTTAAGAAGCATATCGCAAAGACAGAGTCGCCTCGTTAACTAACGTTCCCCAAAGTAACGCATCAAGCTTCTTATGGCACCCAAGATGCCGCAGGCGGTTTTTGACGCACATATGTGACTTATCTAGCTTTTTTACAATGTACTTAGTCAAACTATGCCGATCATAATCAATGAGGGCCTTTATTTGCTCATCTTTAACCTCCAATTGGCGCCCGGAGCACTCCTCATTTTGCAAAGAAAAATCTCCAGAACGGAATTTCGCAAACCAGTTTTGACACTGCCGTTCTATTAAGGCTTCATTCCCCTACACGACCCACAACTTTTTATTGGCCTGGGAAGCATTAACACTCTTTCAAAAATAAAAAAGTAAAATGTGGAGGAAATGCTCGCTCTGGCTCCCCATGTTTAATTATCTTTTGCTCGCGTACTATTTAAGAGTTCAATGAAATTTTGGTACCGAATGTTACAGAAGGAACCAAGTAATAACATATCAAAAGTTCATGTCTGTACAAAAACGTAAACGTACTCAAAAAAAATAACAAACTATCTGTTGGTAAAATCCGCAGTTACTTATTTGCCAACCCAATATTATTATTATTATTATTATTATTATTAGAAAACTTACCGGACAGACGGACGGACCAACTCAATGTAAAAAAAATAACAACGACTGGAAACTGGAAAATTTTTATCTAACGTAGAAAACATTGACCGAACATCCAGTTTTGTTTTTTTTTTTCTTTTCATCTCACTTAATAAAAATTTTAGTGTTCCTTTTTCGCGTCATAGACGGTCGTTTGTTTGTTTGTTTGTCGGTTTTATTATTATTATTATTAAATTAATTAAAATCGATCGATCAATCGATCAATTTATTGTTTATCACTCGACGTTATCATTAATATTGTAAAAATAATAAAATCAATTTTTTTCCTTTTTTTACAAACGCTCCCGCGTGTTTTATTTTACGTTTAAAACAAAAAACAAACTAACAAACGTTTTGTTTTTTATAAACGGATTATTAATCGGTTGTTGTGTAGTATTCGCGTTTGTACAATACAACAAAACGTGAAAAGAGAGAGACAGAGAGAGACAATAGTTTTAATCATTCGTAAAAAATTTTATCAATCGTTTGTATACGTGTGCGTGTGCGTGTCACGGCGTTGATTTTGTTACGACAACAACAACAACAACAACCACATAAGGTAACAATACGTGTGAAAAAAACAAATCCGGTTAAACCAATGAAATTTATTTAAAAACGAATCAATCAAATGTTTTTTTTTTTTTTTTTTTTTTTTTTTCAATTAATGTCTCCTCCGCGAAACCGATAATTTATTAAATTAGTTTAAATCGATAAATCGAACAAATATATCGTTCGATTAGTTAAAATAACAAACGGGTAAACAAACAAAAAAACAAACAAACGAAAAAAAGTGTGCGGTAAAAAACAAAAAAAAACAAAAACTTTTAGTGAATTTTTTTAAGGTTCCAACAACAACAAAAAAAACGTGATTTTTTTTTTTTTTTACCACATTATTATTATTATTATTATTATTATTAGAAAACTTACCGGACAGACGGACGGACCAACTCAATGTAAAAAAAATAACAACGACTGGAAACTGGAGAATTTTTATCTAACGTAGAAAACATTGACCGAACATCCAGTTTTGTTTTTTTTTTTCTTTTCATCTCACTTAATAAAAATTTTAGTGTTCCTTTTTCGCGTCATAGACGGTCGTTTGTTTGTTTGTTTGTCGGTTTTATTATTATTATTATTAAATTAATTAAAATCGATCGATCGATCGATCAATTTATTCTTTATCACTCGACGTTATCATTAATATTGTAAAAATAATAAAATCAATTTTTTTCCTTTTTTTACAAACGCGCCCGCGTGTTTTATTTTACGTTTAAAACAAACAAACAAACAAACAAACGGTGTCCCCCGAATCCTAATTATTATTATTATTAATAAATTTTTGTTTGTTTTAACAACCGAAGGTATTATTATTAATTTTTTTAAAACATTTTTCGTGTTTGTTTTTGTTAAATTTTGTGAAATGTGTTGATCAAAAAAAAAAAAAAAAATTTGTTTGTAAATTTTGAAACAATCGTTTGTTCCGATAATAATAATAATAATAATAATAAGGTAAGTTGTTTGTCTTTTTTCTTTTATCTTCCAGGAAATTTGTTATCTGGAGTCTTATACGATCTGGAACGTAATAATAATAAAAATATTGTTGTTAAACCTTTAAAAAAATTCTTGAAGTTTTTTTTTTTTCGAATTCAACAAAACAATTCGACGACAAACGATAACGTTTGTTGTGATCGCACATACAAACAAATTCATGAATTCTTTTTTTTTAAAGTTTTATGACCTGGAAATAGTTTAACGTATTCGAAAAAAAAAAAACGAATACTATGAATAAATAAAAAGTAAAAAAAAAAAAAAAATTCTTTTTAAAAAGAGAGTTTACTTTTATCCGTTTGTTTTAACAATAAACAAACAAACAAACAAACAAAAATCAATTGATTTTTTCCTTTTAAATTTATTCATAAATTCGATGACGAATCATTTCCAGGTCCAGCACTTAACGTTTTTATTTAACAAAAAAAAAAAAATTTACTCTCCGATTTTTTTTTTTTACCGATAATAATAATAATAATGATAAATGGAAACGTTAATGACTTTTTTCAATTAAAAAGTATTTTAATAATAATAATAATAATAATTTCCAGTTTTATCAGTGGTCGATAACGTTTTTTGTTTTTTAATTTGATAATAAATAAGGCAAAAGACGTCATCGTTTTTCTCCAGGAACTTTTAAAAGCTCTTAAGTGCGGAATTAGGCTCTTTTACCGCACCCAAATTTTTACATTATTATTATTATTATTATTATTTAAATTTTTCGCACAAGAATCGTTTTGCCTGTTTGTTCAGACTGACCTCCGGGGGTTTTTTCTTCCTGTCAGAAATATTTCCCCCCCCCTTCCCTCACCCTTCAAATTTTAAATTTGATATGATATCCTTTTTTTTTCTTCTTCTTCTTTTGTTTCCCTCGATAAATAAAAAATCAAGTCACGATTGTTATTTTATTTTTTATTTTTTCTCGTATTTTTCAAAACGTGTTTTTTTTTTTTTTTGACAACATAAAAGCGCACGATTCAATGTTGCCTAAAAAAAAAAAAAAAAAAAAAAAAAAAAAATTAAATGTCCGTTAAAAAAATTCCGATTAATTTATGAAAAAAAAAATCATATTTGAAAGTTAAAAAAAAATTTTGATTGACTATAACAATTACGTTATTAACACGGTAATAATAATAATAATAATAATAATGATGATGATGATGATGATGATAATAATAATAATCGATTAAATAAAACAAATTTTTTTTTTCATTTTTTTTGCTGAAATTTTGTAAATTTCAGTCTAGACCGGCTTTTTAACTACTTAATTATAAAAAATTATTATTATTATCATTATTATTATAATTATCATTATCATTATCATTAATATTAATATTTAAAATGGGAGAAAAGTAATAAAAATTATTATTAATAAATTTAAATTTTTCAAACAAAGATTAATCCGACGGAAAAATTCAAAAAAAAAAAAATTAGCGCGAATAATCTTTTATTTTTCTCCAGTAAAAATCAATAATAATAATAATGATGATAATAATAATGAGCGGGGTCACAAATCCAATAATTTATTATTACGGTAAGAAAACGAGTTTTTTTTTCCTACTCCTCCTTCTCCTCCTTTTCCTCTTCTTTCCCGCCACTCCCCCCAACCCCCCGTAAAGTATCGAGAAAATCAATTCGCTCTTGATTTTTTTAATTTTTTTTATAATTCAATTATTATCATTATTATTATCATTATCATTATTAAAACAATGAGTAGAAAAAATTAATTTTTAAACGTCACGTGACGATTGTTTTTTTAACGGATTTTTACCAACGTTAGTTAGCATGGCTGTTTCGAGTATTTACTTTTTTTTTAAATGCGACTATGTTTTAACCGTTTTCCCTCCATTTCCCTACCGGAAACGATTTTTTTAGTCATTTCTCGTACTTCCGGAAACTTTTAATTTTTTCTTAGACGATTTTTTCGTTTCGTTTTTTTTCTCCTTGGCCGCAGCAATAGTTTTATTTGATAATTTGAGCATGTCGACGACGATTCCATCGGATTTTTCAACGTAATCCTCATCGACTTTCGGCCATTTTTGTTCCATCAATGGTTTATCCCACCATTCTATTCCCTCTTCTTTCGACAGTCTGTTGGGTGCTTTTAAAAATCCCGACCACAGCTCGGATGCGAACGATGGAGCTATCGGTGCGAGCATTATTATTTGAGTTGCCAAAGCTTTTTCGTAATTCTCACTCAACGCCATCGTTTCTTCGTCTGCTTTTCTCAACGAATTCGTCAATCCTTGCATTTTGGCAATGGCGACCGACACGCTGAACGTTTTCTCCAAAAGAGAAGTTATTTTTTTCACGTAAAAATTTCTGCTGTCGTACAAATACAAATCTAATTTTTTAAATTCTTCGCTTCTTTCGTCTTTCGACGGATTCGTCGCACTTTTACTTCTGACGTCGTTAAATTTTTTCACGGCGTCCCAAAGTTTGCTCTGCCACATGAGTATGTTTCTAAATGATTTTTCATCCCAGTTTAAACTCGAACGCGGTGCTGCTTCCGCGAGTATGACGGTTCTCAAAGCGTCGACGCCATAATTTTCAATCATTTCACTGGGTTCCACTCCGTTGTATTTCGACTTGCTCATTTTTTCCCAATTCATGACGACAGGATTCCCGGTTTTTTTATCGACGTATTCTTTGTTTTTCAATTCCACCGAATCCGATCTCACGTATTTCCCAGTTTTTTCACACCGGAAAGTTTTTCCTTTGACCAAACCCTGACACAAAAGTCTTTTGAACGGTTCCGGATGTGGAACCAAATCCACCGAGTATAAAAAATGATTCATGAACCTGGCAAAGTACAGGTGAAGCGTCGCGTGTTCGATTCCACCGATGTAAATATCGACCGGCATCATTTTTTTGATTTTTTCCACGTTGAAACCCGCTTGAGCGTTGTCCGGATCTAGAAATCTTAAAAAGTACCAAGAAGAATCGACGAAGGTATCCATCGTATCAGTTTCCCTCGTCGCACCTTCGGATCCGCATTTCGGACACTTCACGTTCAACCACGATTTATCTTCTTTCAACGGATTCGTACCTAATTTTAAATATTTCACTTTGGGTAATTTCACGGGTAAATCCGTTTCCGGCACGGGTTGTTCGCCGCAACGTTCGCAATATATTATGGGTATGGGAGTTCCCCAAAATCTCTGTCGGGATATGAGCCAATCCCTGAGTTTAAAACTTGCCGGATGACCACCGATCCCGCGTTCTCTCGCTTCCGAACAAATTTTTTCCCTCAGATCGAGCAATTCTTCTTCGCTTGCACTTTCTTGCAATCCCGGACAACATTTTATGCCGACGGACGTTGCAAAATTTTTATCCGTTTCGCTGAGATCGGGTATACCTAAATAAACATCGTTATTTTTAAGATATTTAACTTCCGACGTCATGTAAACCGGAAGGGATTCGTTCGTGAATGGATTTTTGAGACGGTACGGAAGAAGGCCCTCTTGTTTGACACCGAACGTCCAAACGCTTCCGGGTTGAACGGCAACAAATTTACCACGATCTATGTATTCCGGTCGTTTTAACCAAATCGAAATTTCTTTTTCCCTACAATTTTCAACATGTCCGACGATTTCGAAATTTATGAAAGTTCCGTCGAGTTTTCCGATCCAATTCCTTTGTATCGGTTTTATTTCTTTCCAATCTTCTAAAATCGGATCCTCCAAACCGTCGTATAACAATTGAGAAAAACTCGTCGTTTTCACGAACCACTGTTTTAATAATTTCTTTTCGACAATGGCTCCCGAACGCCATGACCGACCGTTTGCATCCACTTGTTCGTCGGCTAAAACGGTTAAATCCACGGGATCCCAATTCACGACCGCTTCTTTCCTATACACTAATCCCCTTTCGTAAAGTTTCAAAAATAAAAACTGAGTCCATTTGTAATAATCGGAATCGCACGTCGCGAATTCTCTACTCCAGTCAAAACTAAAACACAATTTTTCCATGACGGATTTCATGTTTGCTATGTTTTGTTGAGTCCACTCGTCCGGATTTATACCCTTTTCGAAAGCGGCATTTTCCGCCGGCAAACCAAAAGCGTCCCAACCCATGGGATGTATGACATTTTTCCCTCTCATTCTGAAAAATCTTGCTAGTACGTCGCTTATGCTATACACTCTAACGTGACCCATGTGAAGAGATCCCGACGGATACGGAAACATTGACAAAACGTAAAATTTTTCTTTATCGTTATTTTCATCGATTCGACTAAAATCTAACGTTTTACAACTCCAGTGTTTTTCTATTTTTTTCCTAACGTCGTTTGTTAGTTCTTCGTTCCAGAGATTCACGCCACCACCGCCACCACCACCACTACCTGAAAATCTCACCGCACCTAAAATTACAAAAGAAAAACAATCAAAGTACAATCAAACTTTTTTATTTTCCTTTTTAAAAAACTTTTCACAAAATTATAAAAGTCTCAAACGTACAACAAACCACAACTACTTTTTTTTACCGTTGGAAACAAACAAACAAACAACAAACAAATAATAATGAATAATTTTATTCTTCTTTTTTTTACAGGTGACGTCTTTGAAACATGATGATGACGAAAGAAATGAAAAAAAGAAAAACTTTTGTCGGAATTTTTTTAATTCTCGTACAGGTGAGGAAAACTTTTTCCCAACCCTTTCCCTTCCCTTCCCCCTACCCTCTTCCTTCCTTATTCCCTCCTCCCTCATCATCATTATTATTATTTTCATCGACTCCGGAAGACGTAAAAACAATAATACCAATAATTAAATAACACGTCAATCACAACGATAATAATTTTTTACCGAAAAAAAAAAAAAAAAAAAAAACATTTTTCATTTCCCCCCCTCACATCCCCTCTCCTCCCTCCTCAGTAATTTTTCGACTCGACAATTAAAATTAAATATTTTTTAACACGTTTAAAAAAAAAAAAAATGTCGGTGTAAATGTTATTAATCTTTTTTTTTTTTTTTCCCACCTGCAGCAGCCTGTCATCGTTCGTGTGAAACCGTCGCCATTTTGTTTTTTTTGTTATGGGTTTAATAACGGGTGCGACTTCCCCTCTAATGAATGGGTGGGCTCAAAATAACTTTTATTTTTACAAAAAAAAATAAATAAATAAATAAATAAAAATGAAATGATCCATTGTGGTGTCGAGACATTAAATTATTTTTTTTTTCCGCGGTAATAAATAATAATAATAATAATTGGTCGGAGTAATAAATCCGCGAGTAATTTTTTATAACAATAATCCGAATAATTATTACCCATTAATAATTAATTATGATTAAATTATTATTATTATTTATTACTTTTTGATTTATTAGTTTATGGTCAAACGAGTTAACCTCGACTTTTTTCTATTTTTTTTTTTTTGTTGAAATTTTCATCGTAAATATAATTTTTCGTATTGTTATCGAACGATATATCGAAGATGGTGGCACACACACGATATATGTATCGAATCGAGAAAAAGAAAAAAATTTATTTTAACCTGTAATTATACGATTTCTAGTTTTTAAGACAAGCGGGTGTTGAAGGTCATGGTCGTCTCATGGATCCTCCAGCGAGAAATTCAATGTGGAGATTTGGATTTCCCAATCCTGTAAACTACAATGACAATGAGCTTTTCTGCGGTGGTCACGCAGGTACGTTAAAAGAAAATGAGAGAGAGAGAGAGAAAATGCGATAATTACGGTTCTGTTTTATTTTTCGATCGATCAGTTCAATGGGAACAAAATCAGGGTCGTTGCGGAGTTTGCGGTGATCCTTGGAACATGGAAAAACCACGATTACACGAAGCCGGTGGCACATATGCGAAAGGAATCATCGGACGACATTATACCATAGGACAGGAAATCGACGTGGAAATAGAATTAACGGCGAATCATTGGGGTCGATTCGAAATGAGTTTATGTCCGAATAACAATCCGAGATACGAAGCGTCGCAAGAATGTTTCGACAGGTACGCGACAAATAATTTTTTAAGGTTCATCATCATCGTCAACAAAATGCTTTAAAAAATTTCCTTAAATCCAGGTATCCGTTATACATAGCTGGAACGAGAAAAGAAAAACAATTTATAATTCCACCGGATACGAAAAAGAAAGCAATTTTCCGTTACAAAGTTAGACTACCACCATTCGTAACTTGCACACAATGCGTTCTCCAATGGACTTATTACACAGGTAAAAAAAAATTTCCCGGGAGAGGGGGAAGGGGGGGCATAACATAACACAAAAAAATTTTAATATTTTATAATTAAATTCTATTAACGAGTTTATAAAAAAAAAGGTCAACGTTTTCGGTTGTAAATCTTTTTAAAAAAAAATGAAGAGAAGATTTACAGGTTTTGAAAATTAATTTTTTAATAAAAAATTATTAATTTTACTCTTTTTATTTATTTATTAAAAAATTTATTTAAAATAATAATAATAATGGAGAATACAACATAACAAAAAAAAAAATGTTTTTTATACAACAGGTAACATGTGGGGAACTTGTGCAAATGGAACGGAAGCGATCGGTTGTGGAAGACCGGAAACGTTTAGAAATTGTGCGGATATAACAATCGTAACAAGTACATCCGGATTACCGCCGCAATTCGTACAACCGGATAATCCATTTTTATTATATTTCCGGGATTTAAGAACTCCCGAACTTGTTCATCCGTTGGTCGTTAGGTACATTTTTTTTTTATACCTTCCAGTTTTTTTTTTTTTATTAAAAACGAATCGAATATTATTAATTTTATCGTCTGCTTTAATAGTAGTTACACAGGTTTGTAAATTTATTTTATAAACCCATAAATAAAAACTGACAAATAATAATAATAATAATAATAATAATAATAATAATAATAATGATAAAAACTCGCATTTTATGAATGACAACAAATTAACTCCAAATTTAATAAAAAAAAAATTTTTAAAACCTTCTCCTTAAATGCGAGCTACATTTAATGACGTCATTAACAACACCGACAATAATAATAATAATAAAATATTTATAAATTTTAGATCGCAGGTGTGCATAGGTACTCCTTTATATCACAGAATTCCAGGTATCGATCATTGGTGTCAAGTTAATTGTCTTCGTTATCCGCCGAATTGTCCAGCACTCATATGTCACTGTCCGTAAGTATGAAAAATCGTCACCCCTTCTCCCCCTACCCCCTTCCCCTCGTCATCATTATCATTATTATTTGTATTTTTCCGTTTCAGTCAAGTTTGCGATGCCGTCGGAGAAATCGAGGGAAGAGCCGGAGCGGATACGTATTGTCAAGATCAATGCATTGTTTATCCTCCTCGTTGTCCAGCACACAGATGTCGATGTTATTAATTAATTAATTAATCTCTTTACATTATTATTATTATTATTATTATTCACCTCAATTAAAATTAATAATTTAAATTTAAATTAAAAAAAAAAAATTCACACAGTTTTTCATCAATTACATAAAAAAAAAAAATATTAAATATTTAAAACATATCACTCAAACTATTATTATTATTATTAAATCACAGTTTTCTATAGTAATAATAATAACTTTTTTTCATTAAAAATAATAGTAACGTAACGTTTTATTACACGCAAAATAATAATAATAAATAAATATATATAAATTCAATAAATTTTTTTTTTTTTTTTAAATTCCCTACAACGACAACAATAACAATAATAATAATAATAATAATAGTAGTAGAAGAAAAAGACAAAAAACTTAACGCTAATTATTTTTTTTTTTTACGGGGGAAAAAAACCGTTGGAAACCGGAAATGCGATTCGTTTTTACGTAAAGTGTTCCAACGAATTATCTTGTAATTCGTGAGCTTTTTTATAATAAATCAAATCCGAACGTGGTCCGACGGTTTTTAAATAAGGATTCGGTTTACCATGAACGTCATTTATAGTCGTGAAACCTTCGTCGTAAAGGTTACAATATGGCAGATAAAGGTTTCTCGTTACGTTCCACAAATCGCTATAATTCCAATCAAATAACGGATTTATAAAGTTAACGCCATTGAACGACTTTAATATCTCCGACGAATTGGGTTCCGTTTTTCTAACTCCGATCACGATGAGTATGTTCCCGTGGGATTTGGCAAAATGAATAAAATTATCACGATTTAATTTCAATAGATTTAAATTGTAATTTTTAACAGTTTCGTTAACGTACGAATTTATTTTAATATTTTTTTCCAAATAAATACAATTCATAGATTGTTTATCCGTATAATTTTTTTCGTATATCGTCGCCATTATGTGAAGCAAAACCGTTGAATTTATACTTCCGTCGAAATAAATAAAAATATCGTTTGAATTTTTTTTTTTTCCCGCCAATAAATCCCTTTCTAATTTTTCATACGTTTCATTTAACTTGTCATTATTTAATTTTTTCATTTTGTTTAACTTATCAGAAAATGGATCGCCATCATAATCAATTTGATATTTTTCAGGTATGATTCGACGTAGGTATTCGTGTGCGTTAACCGTTTCCGATTCGTCGACGGATTCAATTGTTATTTTAACATTGTAATAACTGTGAAAATATTTCGGATACGATCCGAATAAAACATTTTGAAATTTTTTAACAGCACTGTTAAGTTCATTCACAATGAGGTCTTCATTCGATGATAAATACAATTCTTTCAAATGAAATTTTTGATTACTCGAAAACAATTGATTTTTAGTAAAATTGAAAAGTCTTTCGCATAAAATTGGAACACCAGGAAACATGAATACATTTTTAACAGATACATTCGGATAAAATGCTTTCTTATTCGTTATCGGATCAAAACCAAATGTTACATTTGCTGTTTTAGGTATTTTAGCCATTTTCAAACCTGGATGATTTATATCATCTGTCTTGTAGAAATTTTTAACAATTTTAACCAATTCCGAATGGTAGACTAATTCATCGTCGAATGCTTTGGCGACAGCTTCGAATGTTATGTCATCATGTGTGGGACCGATACCTCCTGTTGTTAGAACATAATCATATTTATTTGAATAATCCTTTACTTTTTCAGATATAACATTCAAATCATCAGGTACTTTAGATATTGACATTACTTTTATTCCCATTTTATATAAATTTTTACATAGGAAGTAAGAATTTGTATCTAGAACTTGACCTTTTAAAACTTCATCACCTGTAACTAAAAATTATATAATTAACAACTCCAAATAAAACAACCATGAATATTAATTATTAGATAAACATAAAAACTTAATTAATCTAATTATTTATAATCGTTTGCCATTGTGTTTAAAAAAAAAAAAAAAATATCGACAATTACAAAATTGAACCTTACAATCAGTGACAATTGTTATAAAACAACATAACTTAAATATTTGTTAATAATTTTTGTTTTAATTAAATTTGAATTACTTACCTTGATTATCTATTCAATACATCACAAAACACAAAAAAAAGAAAATTTTTTTTTGTCACTAATATAATAACATCTTCTTAAAATTCATATTAATAATAATAATTTATTCATTTTTTTTCCTGTTTTACATATTTAAATGACAGGCTGCCATTTTAAATATACACAGAGACATATTTAAATAAGAAACAACCGTTAATTTCGAATTAATTAACCGGTGAATTATTATTTAAAACCATATATATATATTACTCTTGACAAACAGTTAAAATCAATCATGTTAACTTACCTATAATTCCGCTTGTTTTAGGTCTTATATTTTTCCTTGTCATTATTTGACCATTATCGTGATGAACACATCTTCGACTAGTGATGATTAAACATTTACGAATTCCTACGACCAACATTTTATTAACGTTAAATCACTTTTTTTTTTATAAAATATTTTTTTTAATAAATTTTAACGAACTATAGAAGCGGCCATTTTGGTAGAGGGCGCTAAACGTCACGTTACTTTACAATAAGACGTCTGTAAAACTTGAACTTGTATCATTTGTGAACAAATTGATTATATTTTTTTTTTTTTTTTTAAACAAAAAAAACCATTTTTCTTTTTCTAAAAACAATAATTTTTTTTATTTCAAAAATTCAAATCGATATAACAATAAATGTTAACATTAAATCAAATAAGAAAAAAAATAATAATAATAACACGTTGCATATCAATAGGCCGACGATTATTACACTATTATTTAAAAATTATCGCATTAAATTATTCTTTTCTTCACTTTTTTTTATAAAAAAACATTCAAAAAGAAGAAATTAATTAATAATACATTATTAAAAATTTAAAAAAACAATTTTTTTATGTAATCCCCTTCATTATGATTTCATAAAAAAAAACATTAAATTAAATACAATATTTTAAAAAGAACAGAACTCGATTCAATTCATTTTTGATAAAATATACAAAAGTTGATAAGTTCTTGTTATTATTATTATTATTATTGCTATTGAAAGAAAATTTATCTATTTAAAAAAAGGAACATGCATATATAGTAAAAAAAATAACGACACATGTCGAAAATGACTACTAATGAATGATTTAACCCTCATTAAAAACTTTTAAATTACAACCAAAAAAAAAAAAACTAACACTCCATTAATTTTACTCGGATATTGAAACTAATTATATATAAAGAAAAAACATTTAAAGATAATGACAGTAGCACAAGTTTTTTTTGAAATTTTAATAACTTTAAAATGAAAACATTCCATCGAATAAAATTAATTATTTAGTTAAAATATAAAATAAATTTAAAAGCAAATATTCATATTATGTTGTCGAAAGATATTTGCAATTTTAATACTCAATTCTTTATGTTTCTCCTCTTCTTTCGATTGATTATTTTATTACAATTTGCATCAAGATTAAAATTTTTTTATTAAAAAACTTTAGGAATGATGTTAAGCAGAAAGAGAATTAAGAGTCGAGTGAAAATAATGAAAATATCATGGATTCTGCTTATTCGATCTCAATCTTGCCAATCCTGATCTTTCTTCTTCTTCGTCGCTTGTGTAAGCAGACATGCCTGCACTTACTGCTCCTCTCGTTGATGTAGCTTGCATCAATTCTAAATCTGGTCCTGTTCTATTTTCGTACAAAAGGATATTTAAACTTTCCTCATAAATTCTCGCTTCCGGGAAATCAACCTACAAATTTGATTTCATGGTGAAAAAAAAAAAATTTCCTTTTTTTTTATTTTGTTTCCTTTTAAATATATTTAATAAAATTATTTTCAAGTACCTTTGTGTGTTTTTTATCAGTTGTGTAAACGATTGAAGTGCAACATACTTCTGCCACTTTTTTACCATGCCCATAAAATGTCCAACAGCATATTTCATTCGAACCTATAACATCTTTTATGAAAAGAACTCTACCGCTAAATCTTAATGAAAGCCTATCGAAAAGCTCAATGTTTTTAAGCAAATTATCATCTGATGTTGTAGTGTATGAATATTTATTATTGTGCCTATTAATGTGTAATTTCACCACAGGCTGCAACACATGTAAAAATTAATTCTTTTTTCGAATGATGAATACCAAAAAAAAAAGAAACCATATTTTAACACACCTTGCTCGAGTTTGATATCAGTAACTGTTCTTCTTTTTTAGAAGTTATTAATGGTACTCTGCATATGGGTTCAGCTTCTCTACTTTTTTGTGCTAAAACTCTTTCGCAGAATTCGACTAATTCAGTCACACAATAATATTTTGCTTCTGCTAAAAGTTCTGCTATAGCTCTCGTTTCTTCAGATAGTGGCGTGCTTCCATCTCTGAGAAAGTTTAATATAGTTCCAAAATGTTTTCCACAGCGATCAATTAAAATCCAACCTATGAATAAATCATTCACCCATCATAAAAATTGATGCACATGAATTTTTGATCAGGTTTATTGTGATTGCATTTTACGTAGAATTAACATTTAAAAATTATTTTCACCTTCAGAATCGGTCAGGACTTCCATTCGTCCACTGAACATGGCTCTCAGCATAGTATCATGTTTAGTCAAAGTTCCAATCGTGGTGTAATGTAAAGATCCACCAATATTAAGTTTGACATATTGAGATGGATTACCTTTGATAACGGTTTTATGATCTCCAGACATTATTTTATTATTAAATCAACGTTAAATTAAAAAAAAAAATTTTATTTAATCATAGTAATAATAATAATAATAATAAAAATTAAAGAGCACTCAAACAGTTCGTTCTCTTTTTTTTTCAAATAAAATTTTTTAAAGATTTTTATACAAACGTTTAAATAATTGTAACTATAAAAAAAATAATTATAACTCCCTAATTAATAATTGTTAATTGTAAAAAAAAAAAAAAAAAAGACTTCGTTGTATGAAATAGATAAAATTAAGACATAACTACAAAACTAAGGGATTCTAGTGACACTTCAATTAAGTTTACAAACATGGTTTCTTAATAAGTTTATATTTAATGAATTTTTATAAATCACCGAGAAAAAAAAATGAAAAAAGAAAGAACGGCTGATAATTCGAGGCCTTTTAAAATATAAGTACCTTACTACAATTTTTTTTTACCTTTTTTTAATTTTATAACCCTCGCCGAAAATATAAATTATAATTCATTCATGTATAAAATATTCGTTTGAAAAATTTAGACACAATTTACATGGATGAAAGCTCATTCAAAAAACATTTACATAATTTTTAAGTTTTGCACAATTTTTAAATAATAATGTCCATAAACTTAAATTGTTTAATATAGTTTATTTTTCATTATTTACAGCTCATCAAATAGTCAGTTTAACCGGAATCAGTTTTCAAACAAAAAGTGTTATTGTAAGTTTTATTGAAATGAGTAAAAATTACCTTTAGATGTGTTAAATAATTTTATTTTTATATTAAAATATTTGTCCAACATTCAGGGATTTGTAGAGTTAACTATAGTGCCATTGAAGGATAATTTACGACACATTAAGCTAAATGCTAAGCAATGTAGAATTTACAGAGTATGTTTAAATGATACTTTCGAAGCACCCTTTCAGTATTTTGATCCTTTTTTAGATGTTTGTCAAGGAGACACTAAACAGTGAGTTTCCTATTTTTAAATGTGTCTTTTTTTAATATATATGTAGCTAGCTGCATTTTAATTTATGATTTTTGTTTAGGCGTTCTTTAGAATTTTTTTCTACGGCTCATCTCGCTGCTGCTATTAGAACTGATCCAGATTGCAATGCTGGAGAACTTATTGTTAGCATTCCTCCTGATGCAAGCCACTTGGTTGGTGAGGGTAGAGGAATGAGAGTGGCAATTGAATTTTCAATAGAACAACCTCAAGGCGGTTTGCATTTTGTTATACCAGAATGTGAAGGAACTTTAGTCGAAGTAAATAGTTTTAATTTTGTAGTTTAAAATTACAATGTAATCAGTACATTGTATGCTTTGTCTTTCAATTTTTTAGAAAGGAGCTCACATGTTTTCTTGTGGGCATGAAAATTCATCTAGATTGTGGTTTCCATGCGTTGACAGCTATGCAGAGCCATGCACTTGGAAGTTGGAATTCACAGTCGATGAATTCATGACAGCTGTTTCTAATGGAGATCTCATTGAAGTTGTTTATACTCCAGATATGAGACGAAAAACTTTTCATTATTTATTAACCACACCAACTTGTGCTCCGAATATATGTTTGGCTGTTGGGTTCGTGGATAAATTTTTAAAAAAAAACCCTCATAATGATAAATAATATTTTCTTATTGTAAAAATAATTCTTTTTAGTCCTTTCGAGATATATGTAGATCCATACATGCATGAAGTCACACATTTTTGTTTGCCTCAACTTCTTACTTTATTGAAAACAACTGCCAAATACATGCATGAAGCTTTCGAGTTTTACGAGGAAACATTAGCTACAAGATACCCATATACTTGTTATAAACAAGTTTTTGTTGATGAGGTATATTTTCCACATGTTTCCCAAACATAATAATGAAATAAATTTTATAAGGAAATAATAAAATTTTTTTTCAAGGCTTACAATGATATATCATCATATGCCACGATGAGCATTTTATCGACAAATTTATTGCATTCTCCGGCCATAATAGATCAAACGGTAATTACGAGAAAAGCAATGGCTCAAGCGATAGCCGAACAATTTTTCGGTTGTTTTATTTCGATGCAAAATTGGTCGGATAGTTGGCTACCGAAAGGAATCGCTACCTATTTATGCGGCCTCTATTCGAAAAAATGTTTTGGAAATAATGAATACAGGGAAAGAATTCATTGCGTACGTGTTTGCGTCGTTGATGAACCTTTTAAAAAGATTATATTTAACATTAAATATTTTCAAATTAGGATTTAGCAGACGTTGTCAAATACGAAGAAGAATACGGAGGAATAATATTAGATCCGAGTCAAGTGCCTAGCACGCAACCTGTTCCATTCAGTTCGTCTAGATCGTCAGACAATTCGAATTTTTATTTTCCAATCAGAAGTCTTCACACTTTGTCGCCAAAGTATGCAGAAGTCGTTCGGAAAAAAGCACATTTGGTTATAAGAATGTTAGAACATAGAATCGGACAAGAGCTTTTACTTCAGGTTTAAATTATTATTATTATTATTATTATTATCATTACACCATTACACGACTCGTTTTTTAACGGAGGAAATATTTTTGTTCGATTAGGTTTTTAATAAGCAGTTATCGTTAGCGTCGAACGCTTCGCAGCAGAAAATCGGCAGCGGATTATGGAGTCATTTACTCATAAGCACGAACGTTTTTCACAAAGCAATTTTCACAGTGACGGGAAAAGATATGTCTGTTTTTATTGATCAATGGGTTAGAACGGGGGGACACGCCAAATTTAGTTTAACATTTGTTTTTAATAGAAAAAGGTAACTTGTGCGAAAAATCCAATTTTTAAAAGTAATTCAGTGTGCAAATAAATATCGATTGAAAATCATTTCCCTAAAACTTTTTTTTTTTTATCAATTAGAAATACAGTAGAATTAGAAATAAGACAAGATTCAACGAATCAAAGAGGGATTAGAAAATACATGGGACCTTTATTGGTGACCATACAAGAACTCGATGGCACTTTTAAACACACTTTACAAGTTGAAGGAACGTCAAGAGCGGATATCACTTGTCATTCTAAAAGTAGGAGAAACAAAAAGAAAAAAATTCCATTGTGTACCGGAGAAGAAGTCGATATGGATTTAAGCGCGATGGAGTATGTCAAAAAGGTTCCAGTAACGGTTTATGAAATTTTTTAAAAAGAAAGAAATTTAAAAAAAAAAAAATTGTATTTTAGCGATTCTCCAGTTTTATGGATCAGATTGGATCCGGAAATTACATTGCTCAGATCTACAAATATAGAGCAACCCGATTATCAGTGGCAATATCAATTACGTCACGAACGGGATGTCATAGCACAGATAGAAGCCATTGCAAGTTTGGAAAGGTATCCCACTCCAGCGACGAGATTAGCTTTGACCGATACTATAGAAAACGAGGGAACGTATTACAAGGTAAATATTGACCCCCCTCCCCCCCGAATTTCGAATTTTTTTTTGTCCAGTTTTAATTGTTTGTTTTTCCGTTAAGGTTCGATGTAAGGCGGCTCATTGTCTAACGAAAGTAGCAAATGCGATGATTGCGAATTGGGCTGGCCCACCGGCAATGTTGACAATATTTAGAAAATTGTTCGGTTCGTTTTCTTGCCCTCACATAATGAAGCAAAATAATTTTCAAAATTTTCAACATTATTATTTGCAAAAGGTAATTCCTCCATCTTTTTTTTACGATGTCGATACGAAAAATTTTAGTATTCACGACGAAAACTACATTTTTCAGACCATACCCATCGCGATGGCGGGGATTCGTAACGTTCACGGAATTTGTCCACCTGACGTCATCAGATTTCTTCTCGATCTATTCAAATACAACGACAACAGCAAAAATTTATTTTCCGACAATTATTACAGAGCGAGTTTGATCGAAGCACTCGCGGCTTCCGTGACTCCGGTTATTTCGGTCGTCCAACAAGGGTAAAGCAAACCAATTTTGATTCGTAGCTTTTAAATGAAAATCATTGATAATAATGATGATGATGTTTTACATCGATAGGAGCGCGATCAAAGCGGAAAATTTATCATCGGACGCAAGATTGATTCTAGAAGAAATAACGAGGTGCCTCAACCTGGAAAAACTTTTGCCCTGTTACAAATACACCGTAACCGTCGCTTGTTTAAAAGCTATAAGAAAATTACAAAAATTCGGACATTTGCCCAATCATCCTGCACTATTTCGAAGTTATGCCGCTTACGGTCAATTTATAGGTACGTATCAGAGAAAAAAAAATACCTGATGACGTTGCGGGTTCAAATGTTACGTTACGTTTTGAAAATGTTACATTCCAGATGTTCGATTGGCTGCTCTCGAAGCATTGGTGGACTACACTAAAGTGGATGGAAAATGGTCAGATTTAGAATTTTTACTGAATTTAGCGGAATCGGATCCGGATCCTTATTTAAAACACAATTTGTTACAATTGTTAATCGAAAATCCTCCATTTTTAAGAGCTCATCATCATATACTCGATCGCGAGGAACTCGTTGAAAAATTATGGAGCATTATCAAGTGAGCGAGCGAGCGAACAAACAAACAAATTTATTTATTATCAGACAATACGTAGAGTGGTTTTTATTATTATTATTTTCTTTCCAGTTCTCAAATGTCCTACGATTCCAGATTACGATGCGATTTTGTGGATTTGTATTTTACACTTTACGGAACGAGAAGGCCCAATTGCACTCCGACACCGGAAATGGCAAATTTATTAAAACCGAAATTGGAAAAAATGGAATTCAAACAAATGGATTCTAAACCTTATTTACCCGTCAAACAAGGTTTTCCTCTTATTATTGTTTTTCAAACATTTTAAATGTAAAAATGTTAACGTTTTTTTTTTTTTTTTTTGCAGAACCTTTATCAGACATGATAACTCCGATTGCGGGTGTTAAAAGAAAAGCATCGTCCCCACCTTCTCCAAAAGAAAAAGAACCCACGGTTACCACGAGTGCAACAGACGAACACAATTTAGGGATCGTTACGGTTGAAATAGAAGCAGCAGAAGAAGACGAAAACAAAATGAAAATAAAAGTAAGATGCAAAAAAAAAAAAAAAAAAAATTGGGATCAAACCATTTTATTAATTTATTAAAAAACATTTTTTTTTTTTTCATCTCACGCAGGAATTATTATCGGAAACGATAACGGAAACGCTCGCGGTTGAAGATGATTCGATAAAGAAAGAAATGTTTTCCGACAATTCGGCTTCTCTACCCGGAATATCCGGGAATCAATCTGGACCGATCGGTTTCGAACCGGGAATGTTTTCGACGAAAGAAATAATGGGAGATTCGAAAGTCGGGTACAACAACGTTAATCGATCGACGAGCTCTCAAGGAACGTCTCACGAGAAATTAAAGAAAAAGAAAAAGGATAAGAAAAAACACAAACACAAACACAGGCATCATAAACACGGAAAGGAAAAAAATAAAGAGAAAAAAGATTTGAGCAACAAATTGAACGTGAAAGAGGAAACTTTGAGTTCTTTGAGTTCGACACCGAGTCCCACGGAAGGATCAAAAGATTTTGTTATGTCGCCGATGTAAAAAAAAAAAAAAAAGACAAAAATGTTTTTATAAACGTTTATAAGGATTTTATATAAATATATACATATATATATAATTATTTAAAATGGCGTGTCCATTATTTTATTTTGTTACCTTTTCTCGATTACTCGAATTATCGATAGTAATAATATTTTATCGTTACCATGACAACGGGTGTGAAAATCAAAAACAAAACAAATATGTCGTCGGAAAGTTTAGAAAAATTGGGTTTATTTTTTGACGAATTAAATCGCGTTAGAGTTTGGGAACCGGAGGCTGCCGATAAAACAAATGATTTAAAAGATGAATGTAAAGATTTTTCACAGAGTAAGTCAATAATAATAATAATAATAATAATAATAATTATCTCTTTAAGAAACATACAACTCACAAATTTGATTGGAGGTGATGTAGGTTTTTTAACATGGCTAAAGGTAAAGATTAATAATTTTTTCATAAAAAATTACAGAAATAACAGATTTTCATAAGATATCAAATGAATTTCTCACATCAATACAAAACTTATCGAAACACGTGGAAAAAGAAAGAATAAAAGCATTGGGCTCATCTAATTTATTAAAATCAATGGCGAAACAAAGAGAAACCCAACGAAAACAATATAAGGTAAAAAAAAAATATTTTCCTTATAAAGAATTTAAAGAAAAACAAACATGTCTGCATGTTAAAAACATTTAAAATTTAAAAAAAATTAACTTAAAGGTCTTACCTGACGATGATTAAAACAAATTTCCCGTGAAAACCAATTAAAACAAATAATTTGTTAATTACACAATCGTTATGCACAACATCACCACACACATTCACGAACGATATTTGAATCATTTCATTTTAACTGAAAACAAACATTGTTGCCAACTTATTTTCAATGACGCGACAAAAATTTTTTTTGGCGCGAAATTTTACTTGTTGACATAAACATATACAGTAAGTGGGTAATAAAATGCGCCATTTTTCATTTTCAGTCACTCATAATAGAAAAATCAACGGAATTGGAACGTTTAAGAGTTCAACATCAATCATTATTAAAAATTGAATCTGAACAACAGGATATAATTGATCAGATACAAATGTATTAAATGGAAAAAAAAACATAAAATAGCTGAAGAAAGGATTAAAATGAATTTCAATAAAATTTCCAAAAAGAAATATTTTAATCATATATTTTTACCCCATGAACAATTTTTTTTTCTTTTTTTCATTCTTAAAGATAATTTTTATTTTACTTTACAACTAAAACTGTGATACCGTAACTAGAGTTCTACAATTAAAACTTGTTACATTATTATTTACAACCTTTTTTCTCTTATTATTATTATTATTATTATTTTCATTGTCAATAATTTATCTTTTCTCTCATGTTACATATCTCTTTAATTTCTTTTCCTCTCTCTTTCTCTCTCTCTTTCACATCTTCTTATTTTTAAATAATAATAATTTTTTTTATTGCTTTTTTCTTTTTTTATTCTTTCTTTATTATTATTATTATTATTATTACTTCCATTTATTTAAATTAAATCATAAAAAAAATGGAGAAAGAAAGAAAGAAAGAAAAAAAAAACATTTAATCGAATATTGAATATGTAACAATGATAATATTATTATTATTAATATTATTAATAGCAATATAAATAATAAAATTTTCTATTTATTTTCATGTCACTACATTGATATTTAAAATAACACTTTTAAAAGTAATTGATTCATTCTCATTCTCATTCATTCATTCACTGATTGATTGAATTGTTCCTTTTTTTTATTATTATTTTTACGATGCGTTAAATCTTACGATACATCGCATATGTTTAAAAATTTTTTTTTATTAATATTATTATTATTATTATTATTATTTTAAAAACTTATTCGATATTATTATTATTATTAAACATCGTTTTTTTTATCATCATCATCATCATTATTATTATTATTCGCGCACCTGTTATCACGTAAATGAATTAAAAAAAAGTTGATTGATTCGTGTAACCGTTTTTCGTATCGGATTAAATCAATCAATAAATATTTTGGCACAACCGTGAATGAATGAATGAAACGAAGATGATGATGATGATGATGATAATAATAATGATAATGATAATGATGATAAAGTAATCGTATTCGATTATTTGTTTACAAAAAAAAAAAAACAAATTACAATCAATCAATAATCAATTTTAATTTCGTTTAATTAAAGATTGCCGAATTTTTTTTTTTTAATAATTAATTAATTAATTAATTAAATTTAATTTATTTATTAATAATTTTTCTTCTTATCATCATCATTATCATTTCCTTTTAAAAAATTTGTCTCACGTTAATAAATATATTATTAAATAGAAAAAACGCACGTTATCATCAAACGCACACGATTATAGTAGTAGTGTATTATTATTATTTACGACTGTCTTATCACTAAACCTTTTGTTTTGGTTTTTATCAGTCGTATCACGTGTCATTTTTATCACGTGTTTTTTTATTTTTAGACACTTTATTTATTTATTTATTTATTTTCGGACATTTTGTCCCGCTCATTTTAATAATAAATTTGCAATTTTTTATTTTCGTACGTAATAATCGAAAAAATATTTTTAATAATAAAAAAAGGAGAAAATTAAATAATAATAATAATAATAAAAAATAATAATAATTTTTTTTTTCGTACGGTACGTATGATAATAATAATAACATGCAACAAATAACAGATGAATAATAATAATAATAATAATAATAATAATAATAATAATAATAATAACTAAAACTATTTTTTTTCTCCTTATTTATTTATTTATTTATATATATATATATATTTTTTTATTTTACTTATTTTTATTTATAATTTTTTCTTTTTAAATTTCGGAAAAAATTCTACCCCGAACAATAATAATAATGATGATAATCATTATTATTATTATTATTATTATTATTATTATTAATAATTTTACACATTTATATGAATAATTTTTTTTTTATCCTCCATTTCTTATTTTTTAATAAACGATCACTTATTTATTTTTATAATAATAATCATTATTATCGTTTTTTTTTATGTACATAATATTTATTTATGATTTAACTTATCGATAACTTATTAAAATTATCACCGAATAATAATAATAATAATTTTTTTTTTTAAATATTATTATTTATATTTAAAATAATTTTTTTTTT